GGGGGGGGGGGGGGGGGGAGCGAAACGGGCCACATCTCTCTCTCTCTCTCTCTCTCTGTGTGTGTGTGTGTGTTCTGTATGTGTGTGCAGAATCCGAGGATGCTCTCCTTGCGCAGCGGCTACAATGGTGAGCACACACAGAGAGAGAGAGGGGGGGGTTGAGGAGAAAGATCCATTGCGTAAACACGGCATCGACACGCCGCCATGTGTGTGTGTGTGTGTGTGGTGCAGATGAGTCGTTGCCCCGATTGGGCTGGGTGCGCAGCTGCACGACCCACTTCTACTTCAGACAGTACCGCGACCACCACTACCTCATCAACAGAAAGCCAAAGGTTGGCAAGATCACCAGCTACCTCAATCCCCACATCCCATGTGTGTAGTTTGTGTTTTGCGTTTTGTGTTTTGTGTCTGTGTGTCTGTGTGCGTGTGTGTGGCTGCAGTCGTGTCGGTTCACCAACTACCGGATTGAGGAGCCCTCGCTGGACTACGAGCGCGACTCGGACTCGGAGTACGCTGAGGTGCGTCCATGTGTGTGCCTGTCTGGGTGTGTGGGTCTGGTGCATTGCCTTGTGATGGGTGCAGGAGTATGAGTATGAGGACATCGAGGACAGCGAGGAGGAAGAGCAGGACGAAGACGACAAAGACGACGTGCGTGCGGCACACACCCGCGACACACACACACACACACCTTTTGTATCTCTGTCTCTCTCCCTCTGTCTGTCTGTCTGTGTGTGGCAGAACGATGGCTTCATCTGTCCCGACGGCGACTTCCTCGGTATCCCCCACACACATACTCGTCGTCCGTCAACACGCATAAACACACCTTACCGTATGTGTGTGTCGTCGTCATGGATGTCAGAGGGCGAAGTGGAGGACGACGAGCACCTGGCCATCTCCAACAGCCACGCCCTCCCCCCCTTCGGCCAGAAGGAGCTCGACATGTCCCCCGAACTCTGCATGGGCCGTATGGCCGCACACCCCGACCCGGCACATGACACTGCACCCAACATCGAGGGGCTCTCTGAGATGGAGGCAGGTATGTGTGTGTCGGGGGGTGGGCGACGGTGGATGGCTGAATGGATGGATGGATGGATGGGAGGATTTCTGTGTGTCGGTGTGTGTGTGTGCGTGTGTCAGCCGCCATGAGTGAGCTCTTCTACCACGCTAGGATTCTGCCCATTCTACCCAGTAGACAACACACAGATAGAGGGAGGGCGAGGGAGAGAGGGAGAGAGAGAGAGAGAGAGTGTGTGTCCATGTGTGTGCGCAGTGACACCTGCCCTGCTGACTCGCGAGAAGAAGAAGAAGAAGGGCAAGCGCGCCAAGGGCAAAGCCACGGCCAAGGGCAAGGCCAAGGCCAAACCCAAGACGACCAAACAACCCAAAAACAACGACAAGAAGAAGAAGCAGCAGAAGAAGCTACCCAATTCGGCAAGTGCACCACCCACACACCCCTCCTCTCCTCCCCCCTGTGTGTGTATGTGTCGCCCTCTCTCTCTCTCCCCCTCTGTGTGTGTGTGTGTGGGTGTGTTGTGTGTGTGTCAGGGGAGTGCGACAGCGCCCGATGACGCATTAGACGTAGACGTAGACGGAGATCTTGATGGCGATAGCGATATGGCCATGGGGGCGTCTGACTCGGCCAGCGGCACCGGTGGCGGCAGGCGTGCTGGCGGTGGTGGCGGCGGGCCTGAGGGCGAGATGCCGTTGAAGGACGACGCGGCCATCAAGGAGCTCATCCAGGTGAGAGCGCGTGCCTGCGTGTCTGTCTCTGTGCAATGGAAGCCGACACCCATGTGTGTGTATGTGGTCAGTTTGTCCACGGCAAGACCTGCAAGAAGACGGGCGATGACGGCCTGCAGGGGCTGGTCATCCAGGAGTTCTCACACAAGTAGGCCGGCTGAAGGGAACGGGCGAATGGGTCGGGTGAGGGAGAGGGGGGAATGCTCTCTCTCTCGCTCTGTGTGTGTGTGTGTGTGTGAAGGTACAAGGAGCTCAAGAGCAAGAAGGGCAGCAAGGCATTGCTGGACTGCCTTTGCGGCAAGGACGGGGTGAGTGCGCATCGAGCGTATCACACCCTATCAGACACACCCACATCCAACGCTCCATGTGCGTGCGTGTGTGTCTGTGCGCTGTGTGCTGTGTGTCAATGGTCAGCTGGTGTCGCCGTGGCGCGTCTACCAGAAGTGGGCCGACAAGGTATCACCTCCCCCCCACACACACACTCACACCCACACCCACATATACCTCTGTGTGTGGTGTCTTGTTTTGCCGTCCGGCCATCTCACCTGTGTGCTCATCCATCCATCCATCAGTACCCCGACCTGCCCCTCGACGACCCTCCCCCTCTCCCCAACGACCACCACCGCACCGCCTCCCCCTCCCCCCGCCCCCAGCCCAAGAAGAAGCAGAACCAGAACAAGAGAAACAAGAAGCAGCAGAAGAAGAAACCGCCCGCCTCCCCCAACCACCCCAAGCGGCCCCACGAGAGCGAGCCAGACGGAGAGGCGGCCGGGCCGAAAAGGAGGAGGGTCAGGGGCGGCGGCGATAGTGGCGATGATGTGGACGTGGTGGCTGATGGTGGTAGTGGTGGTGAGGAGCGGGGAGAGGGGGCAGAGGGGGAGGGGCAGGGTGAGACTGGTGCGGTAGACGTGGAGATGGAGGCCAGTGGATGAGTGGCTCTAGATCTAGACAGTGATGAGAGCAGCGATGCGGGCACAGAGAAGAGGGCCGTGAGTGAGCAAACAGAGCGGACGAGTTGCCGGCTGACAGACAGACAAGACAGACGGGCAAGTAGATCCTTAGCTTGACGGACACCACTATCTATGTGCCATCTGTGCATACACACACACACATACATACACATACATACACACACACGCTTACTACTCACTCGGATGGTGATCGTGGAGTGGTGGATGAATGGATGGATGGCTGCATGTATGTGTTTGCGTGCGCGGAGCCCGGGTGCTGTTCATCTGTGTAGGCTTGGGGGGGGGGGGGGGGG